AAAAAAAAAAAAAAAAAAAAAATTGTGCAGCGAGCTTTCGCTGATGTCCCCCTATAAAGGGACATCACACTTAAATTTAGCTAAAACTATGAAATTTTTTATAATTTTATAATCGCTGATAATTGTAACGAACGTAGGTATGGTGTTATCGATATAACATAATACAACAACGTAAGAGGAATAATAAAATTTCGGAAGAAGAAATTCTTGAGTCAGTTGGCACTCGTTATCATCGAATATACTCATTAAATTGTTATTCGAACAATTCGGGGTATAATTCACGTAAACTAAGTTTCTCATTGCTTCTTAACAGAAGTTTATAAAATGATGAAATTTTTCAGGAGACTGAAATTATGTGTCACTAACTTTTGTATACTATACTTCGTGATTGTTTCGAACGAAGTCACGTATTACGAGAAATATAATCAACAAAATTTCATGCTCAATACCATTTAAACAGGATGATTATTTCGACGATATTATATTATTTTATTTGAATATCTAATCAAATAAATTGCTGCTAGATGACACAAATGTTTGGCAAAGAGTTAAAGGAATAGGACTTTATTCTTCAAAACGATAGATAAAGTCTAATCGCGTAAAAGATTTTTCACTGTTTTTCAGAGATGTTTGAATTTTTACAATTTTCAAGGGAAAAAAGAGTGTTTTTGCTTCTTACATAATATAGAATCAATTGGCTTTCAAAAGAGACCAAGTGGATCGTTACATTTTCTTTTCAAAGTTTTGATTTTCTTTTACAAAGTTGTAACAATTTCAATTGTCGATTTATAATTTTTCATCGCTAATAGTTCAGTTATACGCTTCATTGATATATGTTTTCGGAACATTTGTTGTAGTTATTGGACTATCGAGAATCGTGTTGAAAATTGAATGAAAATGATTTTTACTACACGCGTTTCGTACAGCGATGTGTCCAAAATTCGATCTCCATTTGTCGAGAATATCATTGAACAATCGTTTCTTTGTATCGTATTTTGCTTTATTTTCTACATTCCGCGTGACAAAAGTCATCACACTATACATATATAAAGATATTTAAAAATAAATAAAGATGTTATTTAGAAATCGTTCACATCTCATCCAACTTGAATTCAACAGTTGAAGTTCCTGAAATATCTTCGATTAGCTTGATTAAGCCGGAGCTCTCGATCGACACCTGGTGGTCACCTTCAAGTCAGATTCTTTTTTTATAGGAAGTGTAAATTTTTCGCATCATCACCTTGAGGGAAATTATCGTTCGTTACCGAGGCATAGCCGACTGGCTGTTGGCTGTTGAGCCACGAGCGACGAGCAGCACAGAAACATTCATACCGGATGGGACCAGCATTAGTATTTATTAACCTAAGGTCGTTCCGTAATTGACGTAATTACCAGCTCGAGATATTCCGTGAAGATTGGGAAAATGACTCGTGTCGGTCGTGTACACTTTGTCGTTGTGTCATTAACAACCGTTGGAATTTCATTAATCGCAATTGCACGACACGTTTTTCTAAACTCTCTTCTCGTGATATATCGCCTTTTATCGTCTCTGTTATACATTGCAATTTCACCCTTCGTTTTAACAGTAAACGTACCAACGCTCGCATTTCTACAATTCTCTCATAATTATG